CAATGAAGGCTGGTGTGTTACCCAGCTATATTGAAGTGCATTTTACCCTTATTACTCGTGTACTTGTAGTTTATAGGAACCCTCCATTCTCCCTGGTCCCAGAAAATACTGAGTGTTAAGATCCAAGAGTCCAGCTTTTTTCTTTTTGTTCTCTTTTCCTTCCTTCCTTCGCTCTTTAGCTCAAGGCTAGTGCCACTTTCAGTTTTCTAGTGGTTTATTGGAGATTGAGTTTCATGGCTTTTCTAGCATGGGCTGTCTTTTAACTGTGATCCTCAGATCTCAGCCTCCTGAGTAGCGTGGATTATAGTCATGAACCACCAGCGCCTGGCTAGAGTCCAGCTTTTCTTAGTTTGTCAGATCCTTGATGGTACCGTACCCAATACATTTTAATTGTAAATAAGCAAATATAATTGTTTACAACCGAGTGAATCCTAAAGCTTCCACAGATTCTTAATTGTATTTAGAAGTAGATAAAAAAAAATCAGTGTGGACAGATAGAGTGGTTATTTAAAGCTATGATTTGTTTCTTTCCCTTTTTTTTCAGCTTTTCATTAAATAGGTTTATTAACTTTAACAAAACAATTGACAGACATGTTTTTTTTTTTTTTTTTTTGGGTCCGGTCATGGGGCCTGAACTCTGGGTGGGCCTGGGCGCTGTCCCTCAGCTCTTCAGCTCAAGGCTAGCACTCTACCACTTGAGCCACAGCGCCCCTTCCGGCTTTTTTCTTTTTGCTTATGTGGTGCTGAGGAATCAAACCCAGGGCCTCGAGCATGCAAGGCAAGCGCTCTACCACTGAGCCACCTTCCTAGCCCCAGACATGTTTGCATCATTTAAAAAAACTCTTTTAAGCCAGGTGCAGGTGACTCATGCCTGTAATCCTAACTACTAAGGAAACTGAGATCTGAGGATCACAATTTGAAGCCAGTCCAGGTAGAAAAGTCCTCATGAGATTCTTTTTTTTTTAATTTTAATTTTTTATTGTGAAAATACTGTACAGAGGGGTTACAATTACATGGGCAAGATAATGAGTACATTTATTATCAAGCATTGTAGCCTCCTCCTTTGTTGCCCCTTCCCATCCTCCCTCTTTCCCTTTTTAACCTCACAAAGACCCCAGCGATGAAGCTCACTACACCTGGTAGATAGAGCCCTGAGTGAAGCTGTTTGTCTTTTTTGTGCAGATTACTTTCCAGATGTTTCTACATCAAGAGCATATACCTGATTATACAATAGAACATTTCATTGTTACTTTCTTACATAGTTACACTTATTCTAAACATCCTCAGTCTCTGTCACTCATCTGACCCCATGTTCCACATCCAGAAACATTTTCAACAAATTTTATTCGGTTTTCAATCTTGCTAATAATACATTTGAAACATCTTCAACCTCTTCCATCCTCTTTTTTAGCCCAATCCTGTTAATGCTAGTATCCACACCCCAATAATCATTTTTCTATTCCTGACCCTCAGCTCTTCAGCTCAAGGCTAGCGCTCTTACCACTTGAGCCACAGCGCCATTTCCGCCTTTTTTCTTTTTGCTTATGTGGTGCTGTGGAATCGAACCCAGGGCCTCATGCATGCAAGGCAAGCACTCTACCACTGAGCCACCTTCCCAGCCAGCAACAAAAACTTTTTAAAGGGTATTTTGTTTTTAAACTTGTCTTATCTTGCCCTATTTAATGCTATGTCCTCCAGTTGCTTCCATTTTCCTCTTAATGATGTGATTTCATTTGTGTTTATGGCTGTGCAGCTATTCCACAGGATCCATTTGTCTACATACCACTGCCATCCATTTGTCTGTCATTGAACACCTTATCTCATAAACCACTGGCTATTGTGAATGCTGTCACAATAAATGTAGATAATACAAGTGACTTTCTAGTGGTAGAGTGTAATCCTCTGGATTGTTTATTTTTCATTTCGTGTGACCTCCATACTGACTTCCTAGACAGTTTCTAATTTCATCTCTATCACTTCAAACAGTACAACCCCACTCTTCTTTATGGCTGAGTAGATCTCCATTGTGTGAACATTGCAAATTTTCTTGATCTACTCTTCCATTGATGGGCACCTGCACTGAATTCACAATAGGGCAGTTGGGAATAGTTATGGGATACATTCAGATACATAGTCATTCTTACAGTACATTGATTTGGATTTTTCGTATATGTACTGAGGAATTGTGTAGCTCAAAGTTCTAGAAGTCCTAGTGTTTGAATGTTTTGAGAAACCTATATACCAGTTTTCCTAGTGGGTGTACTAGTAGTAACATTTATATTATCATCTTGTATATTTACTTTATATTTTCTCCTGAATCCTTGTCAGCATTGGCTGCTTGTTGTTTTCTTAATGGTGTCATTCTCAATGGTGTCAGGGGAAATTCCAATGTGGTTTTGATAGTACATAGGAAAAATGTATTCATTAGGCATTTGCACTTATTCATATGAAGAGTTTCTATACTCTCTTCTTGTGTGTGTGTGTGTGTGTGTATGTGTGTGTCATTGTTTTACTGGATTTGGAAGCAGGGTATTGCAGAGCACAAGGAAAACTCAACACTTGGGCCACATCTTCGGCCTTTTGTGCTCTAGTCAGTTTTGTAGATATGAGTTTGTGTTTATTTTCCTGCTTGTCTTCTCCTGTGATCCTCCTGTCTTCTCTCCTACATATAGCCAGGCTCTCAGATGTACACCACAATAGCTAGCTTTTTAATTGGGTGTAGGTTTTTATGAAGCCAAACCATGATCCTCCTGATTTCTGCTGAGTAGCTTTACTTACCTGGCCTTAGTTGCTTGCTTTTCGCTTGGATTAGTTTGGCTTGTGGTATTCATTTTAATGTGTTTTGGATATATTCTAGACATTCATACCTCATTGGATTTTCTCCTGTAAGCTGTATCCACATTCTGTTCTCTTGCTGGGCCAAAGCTTTTAGATAGAGTATGATTCAATTAGATCTGTCAATTCTCCATCTCATTTCTCAAGCTATGGGAGTCCTAAAAGAAGCATGATCTGTTTTTGGAGTCCTATTCAAAAAGTCATCTGTGCTTAGGTTTTGAAGTGTTCGCCCAGTGTTTTCCCCATATTTTTTTCAAGCTTAAAATCTTTGGTCCATTTAGAGTTGATTTTTGTACAAGGTGAGAGATAGGGATGCCGTTTGTCATCAGTATGGATGTCACGTTTTCCAAGCATCATTTCTTGAAGGGGGCTATCTATTTCATAGTGGATTTTTGGGGGAACATTTGTTAAGAATCATATGGCTATAGTTGTAGGGGCTTGTTTCTGGATCTTTCCTTGATCCCCTCGGTTTGGGTGTCTGTTTCTGTGTGACTCTGGGGTACACATTCAAGTCTGTTTTCATTGTTATTTCTAATATTGATCATTTTGCTCAGGAGTGCTTAAGGATTCAGGATTTTTCTATACTTCCGTATCACTTTTTGGATTAAAGGTTCTATTTCTGTAATGAATAACATTGAAGGCTTGATGGACGGTGCAGAGTTTTATCACTTGTGGTGTGAGGCCATATTAGTAATATTGGATATTTGATCTCTGAACACAAGTAGTTTTTCCATCTTCTAGTATGTTTTACAGATTCTTCTTTCTTGCTTTACAGTTTTCAGAACAGTTGTCTTTCTCCACCTTAGTTAAGTTTCCCTAAGGGTATTTTTTTCTGTGGCTATCTATTGCAGATGGTATGGTTGTTGCTTTCAGTAAATCTGTTGGTGTTTAGAAAGGTACCAACTTGTGCATTGCTTTTATATTATGGTTGTTTGCTTAAAAGGTCTAACAGATCTAAGTTTTCTGGAAGAGCATTTTTCTTTTTAAGTATAGGATCTTTTTTTTTTTTTTTTCTTGTCATGGGGCTTGAACTCTGGGCCTGAGCACTGTGTGTCAGCTCCTCAGCTCTACTGCTTCAGCCATAGCAGCACTTCTGGTTTTCTGGTTGTCAATTGGTAATAAGAGTTTCAGAGCCAACCAGGATCTTAAGATCTCAGCCTCCTGAGTAGCTGCGATTACAGGCATGAGCTATAGGTGCCTGGCAAATATAGGGTCTTTTAAGTATAAAATCATATACTTAGGGAATGATCTCTCCCTTCTTCCTTTGTATTTCTTTCATTTATCTCTTTTATTGGGGGTTTTCTTTTGTTCCGGAAATGGGTTCATAGTTTTCCTTTAGTATTGTCATGTTTTTACCTGATTTTGATTTCAAGGAGATCCTGGCTTAAGAGAATTGAGTTTGGAAATATCCTTCCCTTTTATTTTATGTGGCAGTATGCGAGAGTATGTGTGTTAGTCCTTCTCCAAAGGTCTGAGAGAATTCAGCATCAAGACCATCTAGTGTTGGGCTTTTCTTGCTGAGAGTTTCCATTACTTGCTCTGCTCGTTATTAATCTGTTTTCAATTTGGTAAGTCCAATGTGTCTCAAAATTCAGTCACTTCTGGATTTCCCAATTTGCTGTAGTATATATAAATCCTCGAAAATCTTTCCTGATGCTGGCTCACACCTGTAATCATAGCTACTCAGGAAGCTGAGATCTGAGGATTGCAATTCGAAGCCAGCCCAGGAAGAAGTCCTCATGACACTCTTATTTCCAATTAACCACTCAAAATCAGAAGTAGCTTAGGTAGTTCGCTATCCTTAAGCACAAAGAGGCTCAAGTATAGCCCCACATCAACTAAAAAACAAAACAAAACTTCCCTAATGATTCTTTTGATTTCAGTAGTATCATCCTTTCCTTTCTTTATCTTACATCTTTTCTTCTCTTTAGCTTGGATACATGTTACGACTCTTGTTTCTTTAGTCCTTTGTATTGTTCTCTTAGTTTTTATTTCATTTATTTCATCTGTGATTTTATTGGTTCCTTCTCTTTTTGGGTTTTCTTTGTTCTTATTTTTATAAGACCTTAAAGTAGACCATGCAAGAATTTATTTAAGGCAATGTTTAGCGATAAACATCCTTGGATTATAACCACTTTCAACTTTTATCTATCTGACGTTGTTAGTTGGTGATGACCATGAATCCTGCTGAAGGTGAGGAAGAAATTACAACTATTAGAGAGGAGCTCAACAAGCATTATGATCTCCTAAGAACATTAGGCCAAGGGACTTTCGCTGAAGTCAAGTTGGCCAAGCATAAAATAAGTAAAAAGATAGTGGCAATCAAGATTATAAATAAAGTAGAAAACTCTGACCACCCTTGTTCTGAAGCCCTAATATTAAGAAACCTGAATCATCCACATATTGTCAAACTATACCATGTTATTGAAAGCCCTATGACAACTTGTTTGGTGCTTGAGTATGCTACCAAAGGTGACCTCCTTGAATATGTTATGGAGTACAAATGTCTGAAGGAAGAGGAGGCCTGCAGGATATTCCACCAGCTTGCAGATGCTGTAGAATTTTGTCACAAAAATCACGTTGTACATCGTGATCTCAAACCAGAAAATATACTAATTGATAATGACTATAACATTAAACTGAGTGATTTTGGCCTCAGTGCCTTTTTTTCAGATGAGAAACAACTCGAATTATATTGTGGTACATTGCCATTTATGGCCCCAGAAATTATACGGTGCCAACCTTACCACGGCCCAGAAGTAGACATTTGGAGTCTTGGTATAATTCTGTTTTTCATGGTCACAGGTTCAGTTCCGTTTCCATCAGAGAATTTTGCAGAGCTGGAAGGACAGTTTCTTCAGCTAAAGAAAGTCATGCCAGCTTACATCTCACCAGAATTGTATTCTCTCATATGTGACATATTAAAAATTGATCCTCTAGAAAGACCTCTAATAACACACCTCAAGAGGCACACATGGCTAAAGAACTCACCACCGGGTTGCATAAGAAATAAGCGCAAGGCTTCTTATGCTCGTGTTACGAAAGTTATGTGTGCGATGGGGTTCAGCCTACGTGACATCAGGGAGAGTCTACTGTATGACCAGTACGACAGCACAATGGCAGCATACCTCTTATTAGAAGAAATGTCACCTGAAGATGCTGTCAATGCCATACAGACCAAAGCACAAGACCAAGGAGATACAACTTGCAAGCTCCCCATCATTTCATCAGTAATACAGAGAGACAGGGAGCCTTGTGGGCACAGTATCACCCCGCCCTTGCAAAATTGTGTGTCTAAGGATGAGGCCAGCTCATCAGAGGAGAGCATGAGCAAGGCCTCAACAGCACCTCCAACTCGCCCTCGCTATAGGCGGCTGATGAGCTCATCTGCTTGGAACCCATCAGACCCACCTGGTGCTGGCTCTGTGCCAGTCTGCACAAATGCAAGTGGGAGGCACTATGGGCAGCCAATGAGCTCATCCCCTGGGAGCCCATTGGCCAAGCCTGGTACTGACCTTGTGCCAGTCTGCATGAGTGGAAGCGGGAGGCAAATATACATTAGGGACTTGTTCCTTGCCCAGAGTTCTCCAGACACTCTAGTAGATTGGAATTCCAAAGCTGCCTGCTTCACAGGCACAAGTGCTAACTCCCAGGGGCTTGTTGGAAGAGCTTCCACTGCCAACAATGAATCAAAGCACAGCCTATCCCCATACTCTCAAGTGGTGTTAGTTAACTTAACTCGTTGGTGCTACCCAGTTTCAGCAGAGGTCACCAACAATCTAAGAAAAGTCAACAAATCTGTCCAAGTTTCGGTGGTGAAAAACTCCCTGGCACCATCAAATTCTCAATTCACTACCAGAGATACTTGTCAAAGCACTCAAACTTATTCACCAACCCACTCATCAGTACTGGAGGACAACCTCAGTGGTCAGCCCCAAGTTGCACCAACCATCAAGCACAACACAGAAGTCATCAACCCCATTGAAGACTCCAAGAAAAAAAATACCTCCTTGAGACAGTCATGTCCCAAATTTGCTACCATGATTGCTGGTCACAGCACCAAATACTACTCATCCTACCGGTCCTCACTACCTGAAAATGATGAAAGTGGTCAGCCCCAAGTTGTACCAATCACCAACCATGACTCAGGGGACATTGTTCCTACTGAAGATTCCATAAAGCAAAACACCCTTTCCACACAAGGCAGCAACGAAACTGCCATTGAGAAGTGTAACATAAATCACGAACAGACCAAAGATTCTAAAAAGAGAAGTCATCAAAGTATCCTAAGGAGGATTTTATCCTGCCTCCGCAGATTGTGTTGCTGTTGCCTGGGGACCAAAGCCAAATGCCCTAAAGTTGGAAAGAAAATTGCTCCTCAGAGTTGTCATCACTCAGAGGTAGGTGTTAGGCTAGCAATACTTGTACTGAATGAGAGGTAGATTTGCAAAAATGGCTTGCTGAGGGAGGTGGGAGGGGGAAGGAAGGGAGAGTTGTGGATGCCAGGGAACAGAATTCCAGATGGGAAGAATCAGTTTTAGAGACCTCTCATATAAGAGGATGATTATAGCCAGGAGTAACATTCTAGATACTCATTTCAAACTCACCAAGACAGTTCCTTTCACATGTCTCCCTGTATTTTAGGGTTGATTGAGAGGATGTCAGCTCCAAGGATGATGACACCATGGGCCATATGTACAAATACCAGGAGGAAGAAATGAGGTATTGTTTTTATAACTGAGGACTCAGCATGCCTGAACCAGGGACCACATCTATTTCAGCAGGTAGGTGTATACACAGCTGCAGACATTCCACATGAAATTCTAGACCTGATTAGTATTTGGAGGTAGAGGTGAGCTGAACTGAAAGGCTTGCTGAGCTTAGCTTTTTTGCCCCAGCTTGAGATAATGTCAGATGCTCCACCGTGGAGCACTTGCCCCAACCCTTATGTGTCCATCCTGGCATGTTTGTGAGGAGGGAAATTAGTCTTCCGGAAGGTAGGCTTCAGGCATGTAATGTCACTCTTGTCAGCATGAAGATGAGGACTGGCACACTTGGCCCAGGGAGGTTGCCCAGGTTGAGAGTGCAGTCCCAGTGTGCCTGGGTTGCAGTGCTGGGCAGAGCTGAGAAAAGCAGCCAGGGGGGCTACTTTTTACTTTTTTTTACTTTCAGGGCCCCTGTTTACTTTTTCCTCCCATGCTGCAGTAGTCTTCCTCCTCACTCTCCACTGAGGCAGATCACCCACCCAATCACACTAGGTATCAAACTCCAGGGTCAGCACAAAGAGCCACAGCTTCTAGAGACAGATGCTAGGGACAGTGCCCACCTTCATTGCTCTTTTAACTTAGGACAGCTGTGAGTCCGGTACGTCAGACCCACTTACAGGGAAAAACTGTAGCTCCAAAGGATAAGGGCTTTGCCCAAAGTCATAAAAAAGGGCTTGGAACCTAGGCCAGTCTACCTATGATGTTGTTACCAAAGAGCAGATTGTCTCACAGTAAGACAGGCTGAGATGTTTCAGAAACTTTTTGCCCTAGATAGCCACGATCCTCCTGATTTCAGAGTACAAGAGTCAACCAGTTTACCTAGTCACATGTTGTTAATATATAAGCAGAAGAGGTAAAAGTGGAATGCTGGCAAACAGCCACTATGCAGTTTGTACCACATCCCCCCTTTCTTAGACATGCATATATCTGCATACCTGTGCTATTTTTACACCTACAACCTTTCCAGCCAACTAGATGAAAAAGTTGCCTCTGTCCCCCTGTGAGACACTGTCTCTCCCACCTGAACTAGGAGCTCAGTTAGTGCAAAGGTTCCTGGTTGACTCTTGGCCAGTCAAGTCCCTTTAATTCAAGTCCTCAAAAATACAGAGGCTGTAAGTGGCTTTTTTGAAGGCTTCTCAGTAGCTACCAAGCATCTCTTTCATATGGAATTGCTGAATATCTCAAAATACGGCATTGCATACATTCTTTCTTTTGGTGGCTACATCCAGCAAACCTTACTTCTACAGTAAACATCAACAGTGCATGAGCATCTCAGGTCTATGGATGTTTAGAGTCCCTCTCCTTCACTTGTCTTCCTTGAGTGACATCTGGAAGGCATTCCAGGGCCCACCACACTTGGAAGTCATAATCCTTGGAGCCAGTTTTCCTCAATCCTCTCTCTCCTTTCACAGGCAAGCCAGCCCCTATGACCTTTCTTTCAGGGAAAATCTCCTCCTCTGGGCAAGCCAACCCTACTCAGACCTCAGGGAACCATCAGTCTCCTCCTGGGGCAATTCAACATGAAACTTCCCAGGGCAAGTCCTTTTTACTCCCTATGGGCAAGACAACCCCAACCAATCTAAGGACTCAGTTGAACCAGACCATACTTGCATGCCAGGCACCTTGGCTCTTGTACTCCAAGCAGTCAAGCCTAACAGCTTCACTGGCACTGTGTCACCACTGCTCCCCTGGAGAGTCTGTACAGGTATTGCCTTAACCATGTCAACTTTCCCCCCAAGCCAGCAACCCATCTTGACTAAACAGTAAGGCCCAAATCATTCCCTTTGAGCCCATGGGGACTCATCCTATGCGAGAACAATACTCTTCTGATGCCTAGACCATGTCTTCTTTGATCCTAGACTGACTTGCCTGTGACTCCAGAATGGATCTCCTCCAACGATAGACCTCCGACCACTGGATAGCATACTTGTAACACTGGACACATCTGCTACATCATCTTGCCACTCAGAATAGTTTGAGACTTAAACTGGCTATCCTGAACAAGACAACAGCTTTCTTGCAACATCAGAACGACCAGCCAAACAAGTTGTATGTATGCCACCCGTGGTGCAGCTGTCCTTCAGTGCCCTCCTGCCACCCCATACGTGGGATTCCTGACTATATTTAGGATCTCTAGCTACATCATTGTGAGCCTCCTACAATGTCCAGCAGCCTTGTCCAATCTCTAGCAACTGCATACTGGGTCTCCAGCAACCTCAGATCAACCAGCTCATCAAGCTATGTGCCATCCATCAAACTCCAGTAACTGCATACTGGGTTTCCAGCAACCTCAGACCAACCAGCCCATCAAGCTATGTGTCATCCATCAAACTACCTTTCATCAATTTGTACTTTTACCAGCAATAATAATAAAAGTAATATGTTTTATGATATACATAAATATATATGATAACCTGTCTTTTGCATGTGCACATATAGTGCATATGCATATATGCATAAGCAAAAGGCAAGTAATCCTAAGTATGCCCTGGTTTCTCTTCCGATCATGTAAACTTTTTACTTTTTACTTTGTACATATTGCTGGCTTCAAGAAGCCCTGGAGAGTAGAGGAGACTATGGGAAATTGAAGAATACATACTTCATTTAAAGGAAGTCAGCCTCTAGGTAAAGTCTATAATAGCCGTGAACGAATAGAGGGCCAGTCAGGTATCCTAATTTTTTAGTAGAAAAATCTGGATTTTTTTCCCCCTTAAACTTCTAAAGTCTTCTTTCTCCTAAAGATAAGAAAAATGCTTTTTTTTTTCTTCTGGTTTTCTGGTGGTTAATTGGAGATAAGAGTCTCAGGGATGGGTCTGGGAAGGTGGCTCTGTGGTAGAGTGCTTGTCTTTGCATGTATGAGGCCCTGGGTTCGATTCCTCAGTACCACATAAGCAGAAAAAGCTAGAAGTGATGCTGTGGCTCAAGTGGTAGAGCACTAGTTTTGAGATGAAGAGCTGAGGGACAGCGCCCAGGCCCAGAGTTCAGGCCCCATGACTGACCAAAAAAAAAAGTCTCAGAGTTTCTGCCCAGGCTGGCTTTGAATGCCATCCTCAGATCTCAGCCTCCTGAGTAGTTAGGATTATAGGCGTGAGCCACTGTAGCCTGGCCAAAAAAAGAAAAAAAAATCCTCTTAAGCTTACCAAGGAAAGTATAAGAGAATCCTTCAGGAGACTATCATAGATTGTGGGTAACAAAGCCTCAGAAACAAAGATTTTTTTTTTCTGGTCTTGGGGCTTGAACTCTGGGCTTGGGTCTTGTCTCTGAGCTCTTCAGCTCAAAGCTAATGTTCTACCACTTGAGGGGCAGTGCCACTTCTGATATTTATGAGTAATTTATTGTAGATAAGAGTCGCACCATCTTTCCTGCCTGGGCTGGCATTGAACAGCAATCTTCAGAACTCAGCCTCCTGAGTAGCTAGGCTTACAGGCATGAGCTACTAGCATCCAGCTTCAGAAACAAAGTTTACTGATGAACTGAGATCAGAAGAGGCATGTAAACAACATTGCTGCCACTAAAGGGTCACTCAAGTTTGCAATATTTCTGACCAATAAAGATTTCAAGAAGGCCTTGGCTTGAGTCTAGAAGTCCATGAATGAAACAGGATTAGTGATGCATATTTGGACTTCATCAATGGTATTAACTGCTATACAACTAGCCAGGCAGGATGGTAGCACATGCCTGCAATCCTAACTACTCAGAAGGCAGAAAACCAGGAGAATTTTAGTTAAAGATCAGCCTAGGCAAAAAGTCAAACAGGCATGGCACACAAAATATTAGCTATCAGGGCTGAATTCTCAGAATAACTAAAAATGAAGGTGCTATGTACAAGTGCAAAAAAAAAATCCACAATTTGTTAGGAAATGGAAAGACTTGGGAAAAATTATATTAAGTAAGCCGGGCCCAAAGAAACATAGTTCCCATGGTTTCCCTTATTTGCAATAACTAGTATATGTCTGAGACAAGTGGAAAAGGAGAGATAAGTTGGTGTTAGACAAAATGAACCCCAAGATAAAGGACTCAGTGGTTTTTCTTTCATATTTATAAGGTGAATTCATATTTATAAGGTGAAGAAAATTTACTACAGGAATATAGGAAGGCATCATCTCCATCTGAGAGTCAGTCTTAAAAGTATGAATAGATGTAAGTTTCCTCTAGTGGCATTTTGCTGTTTGGATACAAGCAGGGAGTAGGCACACTGATTTTTGTTTTTCTTTTCAGATAAGTGACACAAATGATAAAGGGTACTGAAGCTAAGATTTTACCAGTAGATTATGGAAAGGAGCATGTAGGGAAAATAACAGTAACAAAGTAACTACCTATGAACTGGAAGTGTTAGTAGAGTTGAAAATTGTGGGAATGGGGGAATCAGTATGAAAGTAAGGAGCAGTAATTTAAGGATTTTGTTTGAGATTAGGAGGTTAAAGAGACCAGGAAGGAAAAGTTTTCGTTCATTTATTCCCTCATTCCTAACCATATTTTAAGCAACCTATGGAGAATGGTATGGGTTAAATAACAGACACACTGATAAAATATTATCACTGTCACTAGAGAGTCTATCCAGAGAAAACATCTTTGTAAAATCTTCATTGGTGTGTGTGTCTGTATGTGTTGCTGGTGATTGAACCCACAGTGAACTAGGCAAGAGCTCTACCATTGAGCAAAATCCCAAGCCATTGGTTGAGACAGTGCTGTTCTGTAGCTTACACTATCCTTGAAATCACTACATAGCCCATCTTGCTATCCTCTGCCTCCCAACCGCTACAACTGTGGTCATGCACTACCATCCCATTGTATTTTACAGCATCTTTATAATATTACTGAAGTAGAATGACAGTTATGAATATTTAGGGCTCTATAATACTAGCTTTTTTTTTTTTGGTTGGTCATGGGGCTTGAACTCTGGGCCTGTGTGCTGTCCCTCAGCTCTTAAGCTCAAGGCGAGCACTCTACCACTTGAGCTACAGCGCCACTTCTGGTTTTCTGGTGGTTTTTTGGAGATAGGAGTCTCAAGGTCTCTCCTGCCTGGGCTGGCTTTGAACTGCGATTCTCAGATCTCAGCCTCCTGAGTAGCTAGGATTACAGGCATGAGCCACCAGCGCCCGGCTAATACTAGCTTTCTTTAAAAAAGTATAGGTTACTAAAATACTTATGACAGTCATTAGAATATCCAACACTACTAGTATGAAAGACAATGTGATTATTTGTATTAAAAAACAAAAGAGCTGGGCGCTGGTGGCTAATGCCTTTAATCTTAGCTACTGAGGAAGATCTTGATTCGAAGCCAGTCTAGGCAGAAAAGTACCTGTGAGACTCTCATCTACATTCAAAACCCAGAAGTGGCACTATGGCTCAAGTGGTAGAGCACTAGCCTTGAGTAGAGGCTCAGGGACAGCATTCATGCCCCAAGTTCAAGTACCACAACTGACAGAAAAAGCTAAAAATTTCTCAAATGAACATAATCATGAATGAATGACAAGGAAAAGAACAAAGGATTCTTCTTTCTAAATCTCGAAAGCTGCCTTCTTTTCTGTCAGTAATGATCCTTTCAGTTATCACTGGAGCAAAGGAGTTCCAGAGTTTAAACTTAAAAAAAATTAAGTTTTAAATATTGTACAATCAAAACTCTCAAAACTATGTAAAGGGATTACTTTTTGTTAAAATGCACACTTAGTGAAAATTTTCAACCAGCAAATATAAATAGGAGATTAAACTAGAATAAACATGAATAAACTAGAGTGAGAAAACAAGACCATAAAGAGCTCAGAACCTCACAGTTCAGAGCCTAAACCTAAAACTCATCAATACATGAACTAAAATAAAAATAATACGAGAAGAGAGTCCTGCCTTGATAAAAATTTGCCAGTCAAAAAAATATGGATGTCCTAGTTAAGAGAAAATAAAGTTAACACTAAAGTCACTTTGCAAAATTCAGAATACAAAAGGAAAAGAAGTTTGATGGAATTATGGTTCCTATTTTTTCAAAGCAGGTGAAATGTCTCTGGTTCAGGAGCTACATATTGGAGAACAAACTATGCCAGCAACTACAAACTACAGAAGCATCCACTTCAAATAAAGAATTAGCTATTATTATTAAATAAACTGCATTACTAAGGCAGGTACAGGTAGCTACTGTAATCCTACTTAAGAGGCTTAGATCCCAGGATGGCCATTTGAAACTTATTTGGGGGGTGTGGGGCTGGTGGTGAGGCTTGAACTCAGGGCCTGACTTTTTCTCTCAAAGTTAGTAATCTACCACTTTGAGCCATAGAACCATTTTGTTTTTCTGGTGGTTAATTGGAGAGAGTCTCATGGTGGGTTGGCTTCAACCTATGATCCTCAGATCTCAGCCTCCAGAGTAGCTAGGTTACAGGTGTGAGCCACCAGCGCCCAGCTGTTTATGAGACTCTTGTGTCCAATTAACCACAAAAAATAGAAGGTGGCACTGTAGCTCACATGGTAGAGCACTAGCCTTGAGCAAAAAGGCTCAGGTAAAGTGCCCAGGCCCGAGTTCAAGCCCCAGGACTGGTACACATAAAAAATAATTGACATAAAATAGTGCATCAAATCTCTTAAGATTATTTATGATGTAATTAATTTTTTGTAACTTTTTAAAAACATTAGAAAACAAAATTTTAACAAACAGGAAAAAGATTATATTCTATAGGTTAATCTTTGGTGCTTTCTACTTTTGTTCTTACCAAGTTGGCTGTACTATTTCCTGCTTTTTTAACTTTTGGGTATTTTGAAGGGCTTCACACTTGCTAGGCAGATACCCTACCACTTATTTGAGCCCCTCTCCCAGCCCAATTTTGGTTTAGTTATTTTTCAAACAGGGTCTCTAATTTTTGCCCCTGGCCAACTTCAGACCAAGATCTCCTGTGTATACCTATTTCCCTTGTAAGTTGAAATACAGGAATGCACCATTACACTCAGCTAATTTACTGAGATTGGGGGGGGGGGTCTCACTTTTTGTGGCTGGAGTGGCACTAAGTCAAAATCTCTATGTCCTATGTAGATGCTTTTTTTTTAACCTTTAAAAGAATATCCGTTTCCATACTACTGAACACTATGTTATCTCACTGAATGCTATACATTCATTATGTTTATCCATAATTTTTTTTTTGGTGGTGGTTGTCATGTGCATGAACTCTGGCCTTGGGTGCTGTCCTTCAGCTCTTCAGCTCAAGGCTAGCACTCTACCAATTGAGCCACAGCGCCACTTCCAGTTTTCTGAGTGGTTTATTGGAGATAAGAGTCTCACAGACTGGGCTGGCTTTGAACTGCAATCCTTAGATCTCAGCCTTCTGAGTAGTTAGGATTAGAGGCCTGAGCCACCAGCCCCTGGCCTTATCCACA